CATTCAACTCTAACATTTCTCCAAATATTTCCTTTCCCCACATACTTTAATAGAAAATGTGTAATGGTAATCATAATGGTGAAGTTCTTATTAAATAAGCCTGTCACAACTTAGCTGAAACTAATTGCTTTAGTATCAGTCAAAAATGTAATCATCAGAAATAACAGTAAAGCTAATCATGTGAAAAATTACAGTGAATCTCAGCTACTTTCTAGAGTACAATAACATTTGTTTTGTCCAGTGGAAAGTATCAGAACTCTACTAGTCCTTTCATACAATTTTATTCTATAGCAATTTTATTAAGCAAATTCCTACATATTAAATACACTTAAAATGTAAGTTCCTTGTATGCATATTTTTTACCAGTTGACATAACCAGATATTGAACATGTAAAAAGCAGCCCTCTATTTCAATCAGGATGAGTACCTGGTTTTACATAGCATGTCAAAGGGCCAAGTGGGTCTTTTCTACTTTCTTGTGGGCCAAGACTCAGTGTTTGGTATGAGGAGATTCAGGGTTTTCAGGTTTTGCAGTACTTAAGCAATAGCAATAGTGCTTAGATGTATATATCGCTTCACAGTGCTCTATAGCCCTCTCTAAGCAATTTATAGAGTCAGCATATTGCCTCCAACAATCTGACTTCATTTTACTGACCTGGGAAGAATGGAAGGCTGAGTCAATCTTGAGACAGTAAGAATCGAACTGCTGAACTGGCGGTAGTCAGCAGAAGTGGCCTGCAGTACTGCATTCTAATCATTGCACCACTACTGCTCTTAAAGCAGCTAAACCATATCCAATCCCCAAATATGTAAACAAGGAGCTTGCATTTTTAGATTTCCCAATTCTTCAGGGTTCTGTGGGTCACAAAAAGAATGCTGATTGACCCTCTTTTTTGCAATCCTGTCTTCAGCTAAGCTTGGTCCAAATGGTCCAAATCAGGAGTTTCCCAAACTTTACAGCATCATGCTTGCTTTTCAATTTTTTGAAACTTTCACTCTAAACTTCCATTTAAGCCAATCCCCTTTTAATACCCAAAATCCATTTACAATTACAAATAGAAATAAACACACAAACATGATACATTTATTTTATTGTTAAAAGTAAATATAAGTATTTTTTATCAAAAATATAAATATAACATTTAAAAATATCAGGAATAGAATAAATACAATGAGAAAGGTTTTCAATCTTTATGAACTGAAAAATTCTAGGCTGGAGAAAGTAGACAACACAGATCCGGATATCTGTTGAATTCCTTTAAGTTTTCTTTTAAAACAAAGTTTTTTTATAAAATAAAATAACAAAACATACTATTTTCATCCAAATTGGGAAATACTTTATCCAAAATTCCTCCAAGCTTAATTTTTCCCAAATTATCTTTTTCAGTCAAATTATGATTTATACTAAGTAGTTCTTCTAGTAATATCTTTGGCAATGCATTGACATCAACACTGAAGAGATTGCATACTAATTTATGAACAGTGTTGCCAGAAAAGCTATTTGGAAAATAGTGGATGAATGCAACTGGGAGATAGTTGAATTGAAATGCAATATTGTACTTCATATTCCCTTTACAATGTTCAATAAGTGATTAAAATGTTGAAAAAGATAAATAGTTAGGCATCTCAGTTTATTTCCAATGTTTCAGAGAGCATTTCTTTTTCTGTGACTGCTTTAATGGAATGGTGATATAATTGCTTTTTGGCAGCTTTAAACTGAGGTTGTTCAGAGAATCAAAACTGTCCACTAAATGTGCCAATGAAAATTGGCACTTTTGGATTGCAAATGCAAAATATAACCCCAATTTCTTAGGTTGCTTGAGAACAAATACTATTTCATTCTTTAGCTCAACTAATCCCAAAAGTGTTCCTTTGGAAAGCTAGTATATGAAACAAAAGTAGTTTATGATCTGCTTCCAAATCCAGATGCAAAAAAAGGCTTATATTTAAAATTCTACTCACAAAATGTATAACTTTGATGGCCAAATTTAATGTATCACACAGATCATCTGGAAGGGTTTTAGCAACCAATACTGTATATGTATATGGTGCAATGAATTATAACACACACACACACACATTTCCCAGCAAAATTGGGAAATAGACACATATCTGTTCTTATGTTGGCAGATGATATTGTGCTTTCTCAGAACACATTGGCCTGAAACAGGCTCTTTATATACTTGCTGAGTATTGTCAAGAAATCTGACTAGAAATTAATTACTCCAAAACTAAGGTCATGGTTTTTGCTAAGTGTCCTAAGGCGCATATCTGGCAGCTAAATAATCACTCAATAGAGCAAGTCAAGACCTTTAAATATCTGGGAATGCTTTCAATGCTATGGACAACCGAAAATTTCATGCTGTTTATGTTAACCTAAATGCACAAAACCCAGCATGGGCTTTACAATCTTTCTACTTCTCCAAAGAAGCTCAGCAAATACTTGCAGCCACTGAAGTCTTCTTGACTAGGATCCAAGCCCAGCTTCTTTTTGGAATTCAGGTGGGCCCCTACTGATCATTTTTTTCTCTTGAAAGAGTTCAATTCAAGTTCTTGAGATCAATTTTTCAAGTGACTGTTCCAAATATGGGGTTTTGCAATGAAGCGGGCTACTTAAAATAGCAATTTCTGTATTTTCATTTCTCCTATTGGCTTAAGGAATTTGATTTTTTTCAGTGTGCTTAAACCCTCTTAATATGACAATAGCTTTCAGCCTTCCTGGTACAAAACAATACATGCCAATCTGCAGCTTTGTGCCTTTTTGTGGCCAGCCATCATCCTGATGGGCTATGAATAGTGGGCCATTGATTTACAGCTGTAAGCAGATTTACCAGTTCTACCTAGAAACGTCTTCCTAAGCTAATCTGCATATCAACAGCCAGATATCTTAAGTCACATAAGAATTCCAAAATTTAGAAGGACCCTATCCTTGACCAGATTCAATGCCCTCCCAACAATGAAGGGAACTACTGAACAAAGACTGTGTCCATGTGGTGGAGAAATAATTGTAACAATGAAGCACATTATTTTGTATTGTCCCCTCTATGCAGATACTTGCCAGGATTTATCTCCATTCCATACTATACAGTACATCCTGGTCATTCTGATTTGTTCCTATTTTCAGATCAATCTGATTTTACTTCTTGGGCCATAACTAAGTACTGTTCTATAGTTGGCACAGTATGCCATAATATTTCTTCTAGGTATTTTTTTCTTTTTCATCCTAAAGAATAACTTTCTTTTCTATTTGCTAGTCAATAACGGAATAACAATTGTGCCAAGTCCATAGTTGTGTCCTGCCATTCTGTTGGGGGGGATGTTGGCATTTCTGGGATGTTTTTGCTTTGTTGAAGCGCTTGGGAATTAGGGAGGGGGATTGTTTTCGGAGATGGAGCAGACTCCCTTCTAGCCAGTTTCAGCCTGGGTCCAAGGCTGTCATGCCCTGAGAGTGACAATACCTAGCACCTCAGCATTCTCAAAATATCTTCATGGCATCACATTGGCTGCCAGTGGACTGGTCAGAGGTTGGGATGAAGGAATTGTTTTGTGTTTTGCGCAGTATCTTCAGATTCCATCTGACTCTTCTGTAACCACTTTCTCTGAGTAAAGGTTATTTTGATTCAAGTCAATAGATTCAAGAGTTTTACTTTTCTGAGGGACCAATTAGGGTAGGTCTTTACAAATTGATTGATACCTAGGTCATGGAATTTGACAATCAGACAACATAAATGAATTCACTGTGCAGATAAGCCTAGATGTGGATAAGCCCTCCCTCAAAATGTTTCTATGTTTTAATTTTCACAATTGACTTATACAGGATTAATCCACAATTGTCCATTTTTCATGGTTAAAAACTTAAGGATCAGCAGATGGGTTTATCCATAAGTATATGCAAGAAATGCAGGTCTTTAAAAAATATTACTGTATATATTTGTGGATAAGCCTATCCACATTCAAGCCAAACCCAGTTCTGGGTGTATATTTTGGCACCTAATATTCTTGGCTTATACATAAGTATATGGTGTACTATAACATCATTCATGTGGATGGAAGAAGAATATTACATCTGCCCATTCAAGATACCTTATTTCAGTAGTAAGGACCATATTGATAGAATACCGTAGATTTAATGGAAATGTATATGGAACAACTGTATGGCTATTATTCTTGTCATACTCAGGATTGTTTTTTGACACGTATTTATCATGATAAAGCTGCCAAATTCAGTTGAGGAAAACAAGGACAATATGATATTTTTCAAGAGGTATGGCAGGTTTTCCTATTCTGCCTCAGTCTTCTTCTGTAAAGACCACTCTACATATTTCTGAATATGTGAAACAGGATTGACAGGATTCTTTTGCACAGATACACTCAAGGAGAAACAAGATACAAAAACTTTGTGTGCTTTCAGATACATGTGCTGGTACTTCAGGTTTTTGTTCTAAGCATGATCCCACAATGGCATGTACTATGCCTAAAATACCTAGAACAGTGGTTCTCAACCTTTTTAATGCCGCGACCCCCAACCGGTCGTAAGTTGAGGACTACTCAACTGGTGCAGCACTGTTTGCAGAATGGGACTTTTGGTGGGCTCAGCAGGGCAGAAGACAGCCTGGACAATTCCTATTGGCTTTTGAAAGCCAATAGAATTAGACTCTATTCAAGAGAGTCTATTCTATTGGCTTTCAAAAGCCAATAAAATAAAAGGGAGTAGCACAGCTAAGGAAAAGGGGGAAAAATGGCGGACTGCATTGTTTGGTGACCCTCGTGAAATGGTTGTTCGACCCCAAATGTGGTCCCGACCCACAGGTTGAGAACCACTGACCTAGAAGAAACTATGGCATACTGTGGCTATTGTAATTTTTAGTGTAGTACTATAAGTTATCAGAAGCTTTAGAGCAACATAATTTGTCCAAAAATCACCTCAAATGTGTGCACAGAAATTAAGTGTAAAAAATAATTCTTTAAAAATGAACACCAGAAGACATGGTATTGCTTTCAGCTGGTTTACTGTATACATTAGACAATATGTCTTGAGTTGCTTGAACAGGCAGCATACTAATATGAATAAATATTAAAACATCCACAAATAAAAAGAAAGCAGTATGGCAAAATTGGTAACACAATTAAGTAGAAAGGAAGGAAAGGGGAGGTAAAAAGTAATGAGAGGAAAACATAAGATTAGGAAGGATTTAATGGCAACAGAGAGACATTAGATAAAGATACTAAGCAACTTTCAGTTGGTTTTCTTGACCTTGTTTAGAATATCTGACTATGCCAAAACAGTAACAAAAACATAAGTGTGAGGTAATCCAGAAACACAAGTTTCAGAAATGTATTATTCCAGAAAAAGATTCCCCATAAACACTGTATTTCATGGGAGACAATTCAATTAATCATTACATATCAGTGTTATGAAACTGAAGGTTGTGAGTATTTTTATTGAAAAGCAGCCCCTGAAAGCTGTCTTGCTGAGCTGCCTTGCTAAGATGAGAGGTAGTGCCTCACCTTTTCCTCATCTTCTGTGTTTATACACAAAAACATTCTCAAGCTGGTCTGATCTCCCTCATAGGATTTCTGATGTATTTTTATTCTTATAAACATATATGTGGAACATCACAATGAAAAACAGTTGGAGAAGCAACTGCAATCAGCAATACAGCAGCAATTATGGCTTTTGCACTTTCTTATCCACATTTCATTACTCAATATGCAGAGCTTTAACTCTAAAAAAGAGGAGGTGAGAAGCTTTAATACATACATTTTCCTTTATCTTCTTACACAGCTGGTTTCCATGTTTCTGACAGTTACACATTTGACAGCTGAATACTGCTGCTTGCTTCTATTGCTTTTTGGTCTTCGTGTTTAAAGGGCAGTTCATATGGCTTGGTTGTCTTGTGCAGCTTTTCTAAGCGCCATATCATTATTTGCCTGAAGTGTTCTTCTTCCAATTTTTGCTTTGCCTGAAGCTCTAGTTCTTGGAGTTTCTCTTCAAGCTGAAGCCTGACTTGCAATTCTCTTTCCCACTATTACAAATAAATAAACAAATACAACATTACTTAATAGAGATTTTGGTATTACATAAAAACACAAAACTTTGATTTAAAATTCATCAGGTAGTGCAGATAATAGATGAAAAATTACAAAATTGGAAACGTATTTCCAATATTTCTTAAGATATTACTTAATTGACGGACAACTTGTGAATAAAATGTTTGAAAAACAGATAAAAGCACCAAATATATATACTACATTTCCAAATATGATTTCACATCATCTTCATCGGCATTTTATTTTAAAACTGAAATCCCTGGAACCAACAATACCAAACATCTGGAAAATTGGGCTGTTGGTTTGATTTCCGAGCTTGGCGATTTGGGGGGGACATCTTCAATGCACTTTGAATTGTGCTCATCAGAGCACTGACCTTTAAATAACTTTTTGTGTGATGTAAATTGGTGTGGGTGTTATTTGTCTGGATGTTTCTGAGTTTCAGGCTGTTTGATTGGCTGGTTGTTGTTGCTGGGCCATAGCCTTCGGTGTTCAATTTACATCACACAAAAACAGTATTTAAAGGCTCTGACAGATGAGCACAATTCAAAGTGCACTGAAGAGGTCTCCCCAAATGGAGATGAAACATTTGCAACCAAATCTCCAAGCTTGGAGATCAAACCAACAGCCCAACTACCAAATTGAGCTACTAATATTCAAACACATCTCAATTTGGAAAATTGTTGAAATAGAAGAACTGTTCTACTTCCCCAGTATGCCTGCCATTATTACCTGAAAGGGAAAGACGTACACAGCTTGCATGCTGTCAACTTCACAGAAGAAATGTAACACATTTACCCCCTATGAACTAGCAAGCATGCTATTTTCCAGCTCATGATTCCTCAATGAGCTACTCAATAATTAATTCTTTTTGAATGCATTATTTTATCATACTCGAGACTAAATGGGCTACTTGGGGGGGGGAGTAAATGTTTGCTGAGAAACAATCACTGTTTTAATGTCCCCTTGTCATTAACTTAAATATTAGAAATGACCAAGGCATAGCTGCAGTACATTTCAAACTTTAGAATACATTACTAAATGAGAACAGGTTTATATAATTTATTGATGGTGACATTAAAAATATTCAGAAAGCAGGGAAAAGATAATAGTTAATTTGAGAAGAGCACACATTTTCTGTGAAATAATTAATAATATATATTGTAATAATAGCTTTTCTCTGGTAGGGCCTGGAATCAGTAATAATCTCTACAGGTCTAAAAAAAAAATCCAATTCTTATTTTGTTATACCAACTGAGAAACATTCATTAGACAGTGAGAGCCAGCAACTTTCCCAAAGATGCTTTAATTCGATAACTTCCAGGGCTTACATAGAAGGCACCTATCATTTGTTATTATCAAGCATCATGATCAAATATGTGTTTCCCTGTGTGCATTATAGTTCAAGGTAGAGAATGAAACTCTCATATCATTCCACTGCTAATATATAAAAATCTCACAAATTGGCTCTGAGTAGGGCAAGTCACTTAATAGGGTTAGTTATATGTATGTAAACATAACAAAATTATGTTTACCTACATGTGTCCCTTTGCTTCTCCATCTCCTTCCTGGTAAAATGACCATGAAGATAAAGCAAGGTACTAAACATTAGACTTTCCTGAATGGCATAATCAATTTCTAAACAAATACAAAAGTATTAGCATGTAAATTAGTATGATAAAATATTTCACAAAGCCATCTTTATGAGAGTAGAAAACGTTAAAATGCAAATGGTGGCAGAAGATCCAAAAAGGCATGTATTCAGCACTTGAGACTGAAGTGAAAGCTAACAACTACGAGTCTTATGTAGGGCATGAGGTGAAACCATAAGAGAGAGAAAAAGAAGCAAAGACATCTTCAAGTTGCCAGGTTTGAAGAACATTGATGTAGACTATTTCTATAAAACTGTACTATTTCATTGATCTTTCCAACCAAGTGTGTCTATGTATGAGTGCCCAATATAGTTTTACAAATAGCACCAATCATGTCTAGTGTATATGTAAGAAAATAAAAGTGTTGAGAGCTACAGTCAAGGAAAAACCCATATAATCAATATTACTGTTGTATTATTGGCAGCCCTAAAGATAGGGTCAGGTGTAAAAACTGAAACTCATAATGATTTCATTATTAAGAGAAAAGTACAGATTAGATTCAAATAGAATAAAGGATTAATACAAAGATTTTTTTTAAAAAGGAAGTAAAATTCTTTGAAAATGTATAAAGAGAGATTTTACATTCAGAGAAAACTATTGTTGGGATACAATTTAATTTTCTGGGATACCCTCCAATTATTTTGTGGACAAACTAATCTTAAATAATAAAATGATCTCTTACTGAAGTATTGTAACTGAACAGGAAGCTTTTAGGCATTTTGCTCTGGTTATCATGGGGTTATAAAATACATTTCAATGCACTTAGTTGTTTGGTGAATTAATGTGTCAGCTTGTTTAGCGTATCAGGAAAAGTATATTTCCTTCTTTCAGTCCTGAAATAGGATGAAAATTAATGGATTTTAAACAGTATTGAAAGATGGGAAGCCCTGCACAGTTCTTCAAAAGATGGCAAGAGTGAAGGCAATGTTTATTGATATTGTGCCTCCATACCGCCACCATCTCAACACTCCATCCCTCCAGAACAATCTGAAATTATCCAATTACTCTTGCAAATCTCAAAATACAGTAAACAGCATTACTGCTTTGTCCCTAGAGAATCAATACAGAAACACAAAGAATGCCCCAGCTGCTCTACATTTTCAGCTCCTATTGTATTTGCTTCTCTGATGATTCCCCACACACAACAAAGCCAGCAAGCCCCTGTCCTTTGGTTGAGTTTAAACTTGATACAAAACTTGATGACTGAACTTCTGCAGAGAAGTTAGAGGATCTGGCTTGAGAACAAGTGTCAGAGTGAAGCAAAAAGTGGAAATGGTCCTTTACTCAGCTGAATTTCAGTGTTCCTAATGGAAAATAACCTTCAATGTAATCCTGGATATGCTACAGCTAAACTGGAAATAAATCAGCTCAGTTGTCAAATACAGAATATATTGTGGGATTGCATAAATAATGGAACTGATTTTGGGAAATATGCAATGACAAAGAGTGGATGTGCCTATATTCATGCTACTCATACCTAGGACTGCATTTCCCTCCACAATTAGGATGATTGAATTGGCCATTTTTGTTTCTAAAGGAATCCAACACATGAGAGGTCAGTTAGTATGCATGTTACTAATGGGGAAGATGCATTGATACATTATGTGCCATCAAATCATGAAACGGTTCATCTAATTTATCACTGAAATCTATTTCATGTATAAACCAGGTTTCTGAAACATTACGAAGATATGAAAAAGAAATAATTTACTATGGCATGCAGGAAAGCACAAGCACACATACAAACTTTTTATTTATCACACATTTGTCATAGTTCAAATAAACGTGAAACTATAAAATGAACGGAAGGTGTTGTGTATAGTATGAAAAGTTAAAATAAGTCTCTTTAATAATGCATATATTTGTTATTCTTAATTAGCCCTTCATCTCTCCTGTTTCCATGGTTCTAAAAAAAAAAGATAATTTTCATGGATCCCAAAATAATATGCAATACGTTTTTTACAATAAAACATATGTAAAAATCAATAATTACCATTCTGAAATTGGGAAGGCAAATAAAACTATAACAAATATTTAAAGTATTTTCAAATCCAATTGTTTAAATTTCCTGTCATGTTGCTATAAGAATTTGGCAATGAAAATATAATAGTTAAGTTCAAATATTTCACTTGGAAATAATATAATATTTTTAGATGCGATGACATTCATCAGTTGTTGTCTTATATTGATGACCATATAGTAAGTACTTTCAGATGCCAATTCCATACCAGATATTGACTACTATAAGCATTGTAGTCTAAAATATTTGAATATAAAATGCTAGCTTCAAATGATGGCACTATATAAAATATATCTATTGTCTCCAATAAACAAAAGAGAAGGGACGTTGTCTTACCTGAATGCCTTTTCTCAGCATGATGATGGAGAATCCACAGTGGGTTGTCTTAGCCTTCTTGCCCAGATGAGACTGTCAGAAAGTTGCCACGCCTCCTGCTGGGCTGGATTGTACCCAGTTTTCAACCAAGGTGAAGTAACCAACAAAGTCCAACGCATTGGTTCCTAATATCCCTGAAACAGAACCAGACGGCCCCTAAAGGGTGGGTGTGGATTCTCCATCATCATGCTGAGAAAAGGCGTTCAGGTAAGACAACGCACCTTCTCCCACATGATGAGTAGAGAATCCACCGGTGGGACATACCAAAGCCGCTCATGTCCCTACAAGGGGGAAACAGTCTGGGCTTGTGTCCCACTAGAGGAAACCACTTGCTGCAACACCCTCCAGCCAAACAAAGCATCCGAAGAGGCAAACTTGTCCAACTTATAGTGCCTGATGAAGGAGGAAGGGGAGGACCAAGTTGCCGCCTTGCAGATTTCTTCAATGGACGTCTGTATAGACCAGGCCACAGACGTAGCCGCACTGCGAGTGGACAGTGATGTAGCCAGGAACCGGTAGGGATTGAGACAGATAAGCGCGGGCGATGCATGCCCTGATCCACCTCCCAATGGTCGAAGAAGAGACCTTCTGGCCCATGGAAGAGGGCTGAAAGGATACGAACAGGGCCTCAGACTTGCAAAAGGCAGAAGTCCATTTGATATAATGTTGCAGGGCCCTGCGCACATCCAGCTTATGCCACCGCTGTTCCAGCCTATAGGATGGATTGGGACTAAAATTGGGAAGTACTACCTCCTGAGCCCTATGAAACCAGGTATTGATCTTGGGAATGAAGGATGGATCTAAATGAAGGACCACCCTGTCCTCATGGAAGATACACAGGTCACTCCTAACTGAAAGGGCAGCCAACTCAGAAATGCGTCTGGCTGACATGACCGCAATCAGGAAGGCTACTTTCGATGAAAGGAGT